GAACAATTCCGATCAATCGTCGAAGACAAATGTATCTATATGTAGAGAGAGATTTATGCACCAAAACAAAGAAGAAAAGAGATCATCCATATACATGTGTCTAAATTGATTCAAATACGATAAGATTTACGCACGCATTAAGTAGTTTTATTTTAAAGATCATTTAGGCTTGTGAAGTGCTAACTGGTACTGCAATACAATTATTATACGTTTTTCAGCAGGTATTTGTAAAAACAAAAGAATGAATATGGCTCAATAATTCTAAACTCCCACTTCTTAATTTAAGGAAATGTTCGATCTTTAAAGGGAAACTACTTAATGCGTATGTAAATCTTATCATACTTGAATCAATTTAGACACATGTATATGGATGATCTCTTTTCTTCTTTGTTTTGGTGCATAAATCTCTCTCTACATATAGATACATTTGTCTTCGACGATTGATCGGAATTGTTCTCTTTTTTTTCTACTGCTGATGTGCATTATTATTCTCTATTTTATTAAATCTCTCGATAATAAATCATAATCTTCGATGGAGAAAACACACTACAAGATAAATGCGAACAAGAATCGGAAGGAGGGAGAAGAGAAAGAGATTATCTACTTTCTTTTTTGTTTAAAATACATATCGATATTTCATAATAAAATATAAATTTTTTCTTTGGAAGATGATTTAAAAACTGTTAGTGCGAGAAGGAACGAATATAAGACCTCATATTTATTGTAGATAACATAAATGTGAGACAAGAGAAAGAAAATAATACTTGACATTTTGTATAACTTAATCGTTGTTACTCTTCATGTTTTCCATCGAGTGCTAGTTCAATGATTCTATGAAGGATTACAATCACGGAATCGACTTCCATTATTGAACTAGTACTAACGTTGCTCTAGAAAATTAATCATAAAATGGTTTAGAAGACAATGACACACATTATTGTAGTGACGACTTATGCCATTTTATTAATCGAACAGTTCTTTATTCAAATTTCAGCTGAAACTAACATACCTATTGGTAAAATGCCCTAAAACAGCTCTAGCGTCCTGAAAATTATTAAAAATTTGAACTTATGCGATAAGTTAGAAATTGTGTTGATTAAATTGGTTGCTCTTGTCACCGTGTCTAATTGGGTAGATCATTCAGTAGGATTCATTGAACAGTGAGTGCTCACTTGCTATATCTAACTAACCATCATCATCAAGCAATAACATGTCAGAGAATTAAGGTACAATAATAGGTCAGGATAAGCTACAATGAAATGACATGTTTGCTTGTACGTGATGAGGGCCATTGATAGTCGCTGGTCTTAACCGTCAATATACGCTAAAAAGCAAACGATAATAGGAAATCGTTACAATCAACACAAAAATCAAACATTACGTTGATAATGAATTCTTGTTCTTAAACTTGGACTGCTAGTTCATTGCACGATTGTATTTGATGGAGTCCTGGCGTTGTATTGCATCGCTGATATACCGTTGTTCGCTTAAATTTTGACGGAAACTGGCTCCACTCAGGACCACAGAATAAATGAATAGTTTTATAGTCAGGCACTTTAATCATAAGTGGCTGATGCCTCGTATCATCGGATCTTTAGCTTTCACGTCTATGTTTGCAACATCAGCGAACCATGATCCTTTTGCTCCAGATGCGTTTGAGTGTCTTACCATCTCACCTAAAATTTCTATTTGTAGATTAGAAACAAACAAAAAAACATCTTGTGTATTACACTAATTTTATCGGAAAGAAGTATCTTTGACAACAATCGGTTCATTATCTCTGCGAGATCGTTATATTAGTATGATGAAATAAAGAAGATAAACCTAAATACTCTGTTAACGGAATCGATGAATATCGAACTAACATGGAAAGTATTAGTTTACGATGACTTGAGTAAAGACACTATATTACCGTTATTAACAGTTAAACAGTTTAAACAGACCTAGGAGTGATACTTCATGTGTAATACAACTGGGCGTTGTCGTAGATTATTGTTTTTGTTCAAAACATATTTAGATTTTATTTAAGACGATTTAAAATTGTCTTCTGATGTAATAAAATCTAAATATGTTTTGACTGAGACAGACTGCACAAGACACTGTATCTTATTATGGTGAGAGTGCAAACAGAACTACTATCCATTTCACAATAGAGTCGTCATGCATGTTTTCTGTAACACTCACGAGGGAACGTTTCTCAGTGAACTCTTCCGATTTCGTTCGTTCATATGTCGATCGATAGAGGGTATCGGGCTAGTAAAAAGCCTAAAAGGATTCTGGCCCATGACTTTTGAAGACCCGGTTTTCTGGAAAACCAGTTTTTCAGAAACTCTAAAAAATAACCCGAACCTTTCTTAATGAGACATGATTGTAGCCCGCAAATTTCTGATTAAAATGAGACGTCTCCCAGCTCTACATGACCTGTCTTTGCAAAATTATAGAATTTACAAGGAAAGCCCTAAAGTAATTTCTTATTTCTGTAACTTTTAGCTGATAATGAACATTTAGGCCTTCTCTTGTAAATTCTATAATTTTGCAAAGGATGGCCGTATAGAGCTGGGAGATGTTTCATTTTAATCAGAAATTTGCGGGCTATAATCATGCCTCATTAGGAAAGGGTTTTAGTTCTTTTTTAGAGTTTTATGTCCTCTATAAAATGCCGAAATTCTATACTCTCGAATTCTTTTTGTTCTCGAGTTATTGCAAAAAATCTTTTGTTGACTCCGACTACGAACCCACAGCATTTTGGTCGTCTCGATCGCATAATGTTCTAATTACAACCAAATTGAAATAGATCATCTTGTCTCAAAGATTAAATTTCAGAAACATTATATTCTCTTGGAGAACGTCTTAAATCCCCCTCATAATGTAGTCTAATTATTTGTTTGCTTCTTCTTATTCATCGTCGAGCTTTGAATCGTTCTGATATGCAAAATATTGAAAGAGAACATTTGATTTCAACAATTCTCAATATTCTATTTTCCGTTTGTGCTAAACTCGGCTCCGTTTCAATTATACGATATCCAAAAGGCGAAACAACTGAGATTATTGGTTAATGTTTAGAGAAGCTTCGTGAAAATTTATGTAATTAAAGAAACAGTTTATTTTCGCCTCATCCTGTTTTTTGAAACAAGAAAAACATTCGAAAACAAATACGAAAAATCGTTGCTGAAAATGTTGAATGCTCCAATGTGCGGTACTCCTGAAGATAAATTATATTTACTTTTAAAACAAGTATAAAGACCACCAGCCAGAGGTGCAGAAACTATTCGAAAGAACAAAAACTTCTTACGACGGAAAAATTTCTAAAGATTTCCTAGTGTCAGCATATTTCCCAAGGCTAATATATATTTCACCAAAAATGCTATTTTTTGAAGTTTTTCCTAAATACTTCTTTGAATTCAAAATTTTCCCTCAACGATGTCGCCGCACAGTCATATTCTGCACTTCTGTCAGAGAAGAGATAGAGGATGACATTTGTCTTGCTATACACAGTGAATCTCAATAAGATTACCCTTTGTAACATAATACTAGACTTGGACGAAATTCATCATACATGATGAGAAAAATCATCATTAACAGCATCAGAAAACTTATTTTGGTGTATCCTGGCAACTGTGTAAGCGTTTGAAAAAAGTTCGAATTCTCTGAAAATACTTTAGAAAGTTGACTATTTCGAACTCCATCAATGTTTTTGATATATCCGTTCACTTTCACTTTTATAATAAAACGCTCAATACGCATCTTGTGGTATATGAATGAACTCAAACGGATGAAACATATCTGAGAAAAATATGACGAAAACAAAGAGTGACCCATTTTCACTGGACCATTCGATAAAGTATGTTTGATTTTGGTACAGTTGTTCTTTCCGTTTTTAGTATAGAGTTATTAACAGTTAATTATTTCTACGTTGTCCAAATGTTTACCCTAGAAAAAGTTGGAGTTCGTGGATAATTAGGCGAGAAAAATGAAATTTGATTTTTAGAGTTGAATTACGGATAAAAAAATCGTAAAAAAGGCATTCATGTGATTTGGACCTAGGAAAGAATACAAGACGAATCAATCACGTTTTGTATCTTAGAAAATGGAAGAACAAAAGTAGAAAAAATAACAATAAACAACAGGCTAACGTTGTTTCTAATAATATACAGTATTTGTAGATGGAATATTTGTTTTTTCTTCTTCGTCTTCTTTTGTAACTGTCAAAGTTGTCCCTTTTTCTTTCTGATGTTTTTTATTTAAGAAATCTTGAACTGAACAATCTAGCCGTTTACGTTTAATATAATTGTCAACCGATTGCTCAATCGATGAACGAGTTTGACGTTGCAGAATCGGTAAATAAGGTTTTTTGGTTGATTCAAATAGCGTTTGTGGATTTTCAAGTATGGATAATTGTCCGAGTATTGGTTCACTGGCTCTACTTATTGTTGAATAATATGTTTTTTCGAGAGTTTCTAACATTTTTGATAACATTGTTGAACGAACTTGGTAGGAAGTCCAATGCCGTTGTAGATAACGAATTGTTGTAAGAGAATCTTTTTCATCATATAACCATTCAACATCTTCAAATTGACAATCAAATAAAACTAAGGGCAATTCTAAAAGAGAGAAGATAAGAAGAAAAAAACTAAAAGATGAAAATAGTCAATTTATCATACCTGATGCAATAACATAATGTGGTTTGCAAGGATGTTTTTCAATGTCAAGTAAGTCGCTTACAAGCTGCACCTCTTCTTTTTTCTGACCAATGGCAATTAGTATAGCAACTACACAGCGAATTTGATGCCAAAGAAAACCAGAACCACTAACAATTAGTTCACACATTTGGTAACTAAAAACGAAAAAATAATCATAGGTATATCGCAAATCATGGATAATAAAACAAAAAACAGACATCAGTAAAATACAAAACGATTATTGAATATATCAAGTCTTCTAAAATGTCGTCAATTGACATAATAACAGTAGGTTAATTTAAACTAATGTAGTTTATGATTACCCAGGATTATCTTGATAAAATGTTGTTCCATCTAATAAATCGATTTTAACATCATATATTTGTCGAATAAATGTCACGACATTATTTCCAATATCCAGTTTACAAAAACTACGAAAATCATGTATACCAATCAAAAGTTTGGCTGCATCACGCATAAGATCTAAATCAAGATCAGCTCTAAATAGATGAAAAGAAAAAAATTAAGATCAAACTATCTTTAACTCTTCTGTTCAATCTCACTTTGGAAAATAGTATCGATATGAACGTGATATACAATCAAAACGTGCACTTTTTGCTTGTTCAACTGGTGACCATGCTAATATACGAATCGTGTCGGGTAATACACTATTTAACATTCGAGCATACTGTAATTCATCATCGGAGTTACTGAAAAAACAGGAAACAGCTTAAAATAAATGATCTGGAAACCAGGAAGAATATCATTACCTTTCTTTTTTATTATCGGATGCTGTAACACCTTTGCCAGAATCTTTATTTGATCTGACTGTTAGCGATATCACTTGTGTAAATGCACTCACACCTTTTCAAAACCGAAGAAATATTTTAATAAGGACAATTAATATGGACTTTTTTGCATGTTTTGGTATAATTTAAGTTAAATTGTTGAAATGATAATCAGACTGGTTGTAACAGTAATTTTATGCTGTTTAATTTTAGTTTTCATTTATTTTATCGATTTTTAAATATTTCAAAACCTTCCTGGTCTCGTCTCTAGGCAAAAGAAAATTAACTGTAATACATGCATATAATTAATCATATGTTTGTACACATACATAACTTAAGAGTATTTGTGTAAAAAGTCCTCTAATATGAGTGAATAACAAACACAACATAAAAATTTGAACTATACGCAAATTTTACTAATTGTATTTGACAATTTTTATATGTTTCACCAGCATAGAAGTTTTTACTTCTGAATAAACCTTTTATACTTTCAAAATATTGTACGCTTCAAGATCGATTTTACAATGCAATCTTGACTAGCATACATAGCAGCAAAAAGACGTAATCTATCCCAAACGATACTTTTGTTTTCCTTATCAATGTAATCCTCATATAATATGTAAAAATATGATTAATTATGTATATATATCATAGCTAAGCTTCCTTTTCCCATTATAGATACTAGAAATGAGACTGCGAAGGTCCTGAAACGTTCTAAAATCGATAAAATGAACAAAAACAAATAAAAATTACGTGAATAGAAGCATTAAATTAATGTGATAATCATTTTAATTCTTACTATGCAATGAATCGGAAAGAGAAAATGAATTAGAAATGTAGGTGTGAAGAGACGTCTAACTAACTACCTCGATCGGTTCTTCCACATCGATGATAATTGGACGTTTCACGTGATTCAATTAATCTTGTTCTAATTAGTGCATCAAATAAAAAATTTTCAACCGTTTGCGATGTATGTTCTTGTGTAACAAAACCTTCGTATTCCCAGCCAAGATAGACTAGTTTCAGAAATATATGACGTTTATTATAGCGACTAAAATCGAATGGACGTAATTCTTTTGCCTTTTTCTTCTTTGAGGAAGGATTGCTATCAGTGTTATCAATTGAAACGTTGTCAACAGAAGATGATAAGGTGCCATTTTTGAAATTATTTTTGTCAGATTGATTTGTTACTTTTGCTAATACATTTCTTAGTTGATGAACATGAGTTTCAAGCTGTTTACAACGATCAATTAAATCTTCTCGAGACAATGAGTTCCATTTGTCTTCACTCGGATCATTCAACAATTTTCGCTTTTTAGACATCTATAAAGAAAAACACATAACATGCTGCTAACTCAGATCAAGTGTAACTATAAATCAGAATGAACCCACCAAAGCATCATAATGATTTAGAATTTCAAGTGTACCAAAAATTGCATGAGAAATAACGCATTACTTCAGTTGGTTCAGTTCGTTGTTAATCTTTAGAATATGTTACACAATGAGTAATTAACAGCGGTTATTATAACTAGGCGTTAGGTTGATGATGCAATGCAAAAAATGTCGCAATTATGTGTAGGAGAAGTCCGCTCCTTTCTAACACATTTTCTCACAGTGTGTAGTAAATCTTTAGCAAATTATCAATATAAGTGTAGAGTACCATATTTCTAGGCTATGAAAATATTTTTAGTCACACTGTTCACAAGTTACTGTATTGTTAGGGTGAAAATCAGGCATTTATCAAACAAGCTACAGTTTTCTCAAATTTGGTGATAGATAGAAAGATCGAGTTTGTTTTAAATTGATCTAGACACCTTACTATTCAGTCTATCTCACCGAGCGATAGTACAGTATACGGGTATATTTAGAGGATTGTTCCTCACTAGTTGTCACTTTATCCAGTAAAAATAGGAGACGTCTGACACAGAAAAGAAAGAAAAGAAATCTGATTGATGGAAAAGTTGTTGAATGAAAATGAGAAAGAGGTTGGCGAGTATGTGATGTCATCTGCAATCAAGAAAATATTCTTTTGAAGTATTTGCAGCACTATATGCAGATTAACGAAAGAGTAATTTGATCTAATATCTCATAGATGAGACATACGAGACAATTGATGTTGTAATTATTTTGTCATACTGTTCAGCACTACACTTAAGTCTAAACTTAGTTAAGTCGAGCATTTAAGAATTTTTATAAAACACCCTCCAGGATTGCCAAATCTCCTGATTTGAGCAGGAGACTTCTGATTTTTAAGATCTTCTCCTGATTTTCAATTGTTTTCTTACATCGATTTTGTTTTTTCCAAAACTGATATTATCCGTTTCAGAAACAGAATTTCTGGATCAAGAGTCTAAATAATTGTACATTGAAAGAGTCTGCTTATCAAATATTCTCATCACAAGAAGATGAGATTAGTAAGCTTCCATACCCATCCGATCAAAGTCTTCTTCCTCAATCCGTATTGTGACTGCAATCTGTAACAAATTATAATACTGTGTCATCAAAAGATATTTTTTGAAAAGTTATTAAATTTTCTGTTTTGCTGCCCAACAAAAAACTGCCTGATACTCTTCTGGTTCTCTTCTGATTTCGAAAAAAAATCTGATCAACTACTGATTTCAAAAAATTGGATTTTGACACCCTGTTAACGTTCCTGTACATGCAGTAGCTATCGAGCTGTAGTAGACTGATATCATTATCGTATTATGACATATCACAGGATTGAAAAATTTTCAAA